TTGCTTCATCCATGATGACAAACGCAAATGAGTCTGAACTAAGATAGAAGATCGATAGAAGTCAAACAAATGTGAATAATGGTCGTCAAGAGAGTTTTCTCTCTGTTGTTAAAAATGATGTGAGAGTAAATTCAAATCAATGTTTAGGTCCTAATTACATCATTTCATTCCAATACACCCCACATGTCTACAGTAATGAGAATAAATGCTAAAAGAGTTAGTAATAACTGAAAATTGCTTTAAACTTGAGCAGTCGCACAGATTGTCAGTTGCTGTCCCTTGTTCAACATTTACATCTCCTTCAGACCAAAGGTCAAAAAGAAGAAGAAAAACTGTATTTTGTTCTAGAATTACTGCTGTTACACTGCCTCGTGTGGTTCGCCTGTGTCACTGCATGGTAACAATGATAAAGTGTTTTAAAGATTAATGTTGCAATGTGAAACATTTAAAGTATATACCCAGATGTAGAATGATTGATGTCTCTGAAGATATTGTCTTGATAGATGGAGCAGTTCATGGTGGTTTCCTCTTAAAGGTAGACTTAAAGTCCAACACTGAGATAAAGCTGTGAAAATATGCTTAAAATATCCTCAAATTCAGCTGACATGGATTTCATTAGCAGAACTTTTCCTTAAGTGCTTAAAGTATGTTTTTCTTGGTTTTTCACTTTGGCAGCCAGGTTTTCCCAGAGAGCTGGACAAGACTTATCAGATCTTACAGTGTCAGTACAGTACACCCAGGAAAACCTGACCTATCTCTTTAAGACTCCATCGCCCCTTCAAATATGTTACACCCTCACAGTGATTGATAGGGTTTGATTGATTGATTGATCAAATACAATCACGTCTTGTTTAGACAGAGTGCACACAGAACTCCTGCTGAGTTGGGATGATGCGGATGAGGGTTGGGGGGAGGTGGGGGGCCAGAGGCCGTGCCGAGGGGTCCAAGGCTGAGTTGAGGGGCCTGGGGCCAAGCTGACAGGGATAAATATTTGGTACTCTCCAGGGCGCAGCAGCTCAGTTCACATTCACTCTTACTTTAGTTTCCTCTCAGGAGCAGAAACTTGGCTGGGACTATGATGTCTTCTCCAGATGTTCACCTCACTCCTCCTCGACTGCATTGTGAATTTCTGAAACAGCACAATTAACATCTATAAATCATGTCCCGAATACTTCCTGCTGCACCACGAGGGAATTCTGGGAACAGCCCAATAACTCATTACAAATTGGAAGCTTAAAGCAGCACCAAGATAAATTGTGTCGTGAAAAAAAAATGGCGGTGCAGGACAAGAGTTTCAGACTGCGACAGAAAGCCTGACAGTCACTGATTCATCTGTTTTATTCACTTCATCCTTTTCACCAAAAAATAGAACAGATTATTCCTGCAGTAAATAACTTGTAAAATACTTTGAAAAAAATAGTGAATAAACCCAGGCTGAGAGCACTCTGCACTGACCCTTTCAGCCTCATGAGAATGTTTCAGAAAACTGCTGCAAAGACCCAGGTGTCCGACAGAAACTGTCCAGAACGTGGCTCGAAGGAGGCTGACGCTGCCTACTGTTTCCACTGGGTGGCAATGGGATGTTATATACTGTATCTCACCCACATAATAAAAGACGGTGTCTCTTGTTTCAACAAGGCAGGAGAAGGAAGGAGCAGAAACTTCTAGAAAAAAATAAATTATTAGTATCCATATTGCCAGTGTTGACTCCACCATAGAGTTTTTCCCCTTAGTCAGTCAGTGTGATGTCATAGCAAAGCAACACACCTTAGGGACAGCATTAGAGTGGATACTGTTTTTTGAAAATGAATTGAAAAGGATCAAAACTGTGAGATTTAGATGCACTATTTACACAAAGTTGATAGCCATTCAAGAGAAATAAGTAGAAGATGTAAGTGGAAAAGTATGTAGAGCTGTTGCCCTACAGCAGGAAACTTTCCTTTTGATTTCAGTTGGTACATAGTTTTAGGAATGGTGACTGGTTGTTTGGATGTGTGGCACTGTGGTGGATTGCTGGATTGTTTCCAACCCTGAAAAAGATTATGCTGTAGAAGATGAATGACATGATTCATTTTGGACACTTTACATCAACAAGTGATTGTCTTGTTTATCTATCAGTAAAAAAAATACCTACATCCCCATGGGTACCTACAAGGTACTCTGAGGGATCCCTCACACCATTTCCTAAAAACCAAAGTGCTTTTCTGAGATAAGGTCTGCACAGTGTGTGGAGAATCTGCTTCTCCATCAATTTTATAATGTCAATAATTGTGTTTCTGACCATATGATGGTCCATATGGTCCATATATATACTGGACGTGAAAAAGATGGAGAAGAAGAAGTAGAGGAGGAAGAGGAGAACACTGGGAGCAGAGGAAAAAGTGATGAATTAATAAACATTGGAGGATTGATCCTTTTCTCCATCATCTCCAAGGTTCTTTCCTGTCTCATTCTCTCTCTTTTTCTCTCTCTTGGTTCTGCTGGGATTCTTCTGTCTGTCAGCTTTTCAGCTGCTTCACAACTCAACAGGGGAAACAAACAAACACAGATAAACAAACAATTTTAATGTTGCCCTCTGATAATTTCAAGGATAAAACATGTTTCAGCCTTGAATCAATTCTTTAGAGCACAAAATGTAAAATAAAATAATTCAATTTACAATATAATTTTATTTGTTACTAATTTCCCACCAGGAAGATTCTACTTTCTTCTGTGGTTCGTTCCTACGGCTAAAAATGTATATAAACATTAATTTGACATCATTTGAAACAAACAAAACAGAAATGCACTAAAATGTTGTACATACACTACATATATAAATGATCCATGTCTTAAACAGGATCATCAGGATCTATTTCAGATTCTTACAGAATGACCGCGCTCTATTCTAACTGACCCAAACTACCAAACTCCTGATCCTGTTTCTATAGTGGTTTTTGCATTTCCTGTCAAACACTTGTCATTTCTCCACTGTAGGGAGGGGTGAGGTGGTGGGGGGAGGTGGGATGGTAGAGATTTGGCAGCTTTCGTCTCCACAGAGCCAAGCTGGAAACTTTCTTCAGCTTAGTCGTAAATTATGAACAACGTATTGACTGTTTCGCCGCCTTTTTGGGTCTCCTGAGCTCACAGCAGCTCACACATTCAGACACAAACTCTGGGTTCCAAGGTCACTTCCTCTCCAGTGTTTCCTAGAGATGGTCACGTTTACAATAGGAGAGCTCTCACACGGCCAGATAAGTGGAAGAAAGCAGCACGATCTGAAAGCTGAATAAAGAAGCTGTTTTTCCTGGAGTTGTCGTATTCAGCTGCCGACGACTCAGTTCAAGGGTCAACGATTTGAAGTCCAGGCTTGATGTTAAAATATCAAACCCACAGAAATGTGATAAGAAAAATTGAAAAAAAATAAAGTTTTTAGCCATTGATGCCAAAGTAAAACAAAAGTGAAGAAAATATGTTCCTAAGACAAATGTAATATTTATAATCAGTGTCAATGGTAGCCATCCTTCCTGGTGGCCAGAAGTGGTATTGCATTTTTAACATGTCTATATGTCAAACACTGTAAGGGCCAGAGGGTTTTTTCAGGTAAAGGATACAATAGACCATAAATATAATGAACGCAGCATTCTGATTTAAAGTTGAACAGAAAAGTTCTAAGACAGAAGTCATACTGTTAAACCGATCTATTCAAAAAACCGAACAAGATCAGATGCCACAATACCTTTCATTCTCCTGACCTTTGAAACAACTGATTATGTCCATTTAAAAATATGAAAAATAGCTGTTGATAAATGTTTCCTGATTTAAACACAAGCTCATGATGGAAACGCAGCTCATGCACTCTCATCAGAGGAGCGTGATCAGGAGTGTGTGGTGTGTTGTGAGACAGACGTGAGTGTGCAGAGCTCCAACATTAATGTGCCTAAAATCCTTATTTGCAGCAGATCTCCAGTCGTGACACGTCGACACCCAAACACTTCCTGCTCGTTTTTGTAATAAAGCTCAGTGTTTTTCTGTGGCCTTCAACAGTCTCATCATGGAGACTCAGAGATAGTCGGGTCATTATCATGGGCGGCCATCGCTCAGAGATGAGAGAGTCGGCGCTCTCTTTCCCCTCGGTGGCAATTAGACCGGTGTGATGGGATGAACTTCACTGTTTTAGCCACGAGCGAAAAACTCTGCTGTCAGGCTGCGGCTGACGACCGGAGCAAAGAGGAATCCACTAAATCTGCAGCTCGGCTCCGAATAATCCTCATCCACTGACACAGCGTCACACCTCAGCACACTGCCGTCTTTATACAGTGATGGAAAAACTCCACATCCACACACACATCCAGTGTTCTTCCTAAAATCAATTTTGTTTTGCCAAGTTATTTAAGTTTCTGACGCATTAACAGCCTTTGTGAGCCAGAATGACCTAATCTAAACAGTTCATCTGTGAGGTCATCTGAATCTAGCTGCCAGGTTTGAAAGGCTTCTCTTCAGGTATTTTGACAGTAAAAAACAACATCTGTGGAGCCTTTAAATTGTTAAGGTGTGGCTGTGTTAGCGACACATATTCTCATATATAAAAGTGCACAAATAGTGCCTATTGCGCTAAAAATAAACCACAAGCTCAGTGAAAATATAGCAGCCAACGTACCACGAGTAACAAGTTTAAGCCACATACGATATAAAAATGGGCAAATAAAGTATTCCAATACTACAATGTTGCATATATATATTTATTCATTTCAAATTTAGTCAGGTGGTTACTTAAAAGGAGGTAACTACATAATATGGAAGACATATGGTTGCATTGAAAATAACAAACAAACAAACAAACAAACAAACAACAAATATTTCGCACACCACAACACACATTGCATATTGAACAAATCGGCTTAGAGCAGCAAATTTACTTATTTTTTTTACTATTATTATTTTCATTAATAATTATACTTGCTTTGAGAGGGACATGTTAATGTAAATTAATGTGAAGACTAGTGATGCCACGTTTACTCAATATTATAATTAATTGCGATGTTTAGCGCTACTGTTAATTTATGGTAGCGTTTCCTGAATACGTCAGAATAGTATTCCGGAACTATGTTTAAGCGCAAGTCAAGTGGAACGAGAAAAACGTTACACAACAGCCGCGTGTCTTGCTTTATTTTCTGTCCGTGTAAGTTGCAAAAGAGAGACTCGACCAAGTGGCAAAGAAATGGAAGAAAAAGTGTTATGTCCCCCGAACAGGCGCATTATATCAGATCCAATGATTATTTTGGCGACAGAAAAAATGGACGAGCTATCGGTTTTCCAGCATGTGAAGCATGCCATAACAATGCATTGAAAGGAGGAAATACATCCGATACGTTTCATCACCTGCTGGCTAATCACCAGAATTTGTGCTCCAAAAATGGTAAATACACGGTATCTGGATTAAATTACGCCGATGTTTTTCTAACGTACCATTGAATTTTGTAGGAAATTTAATGTTAACGTGTCATTTGCAATTAAATGTGTACGTGTACGCACAGGTCTGGCGTTCCTTTCAGCGTGACAAGTTACACGGTATTTACCTAACGGTATGTTATACAGGTACGTATGTAGAGTCAGGTCGATATTTTATTTTTCTTATTTGTGTTTCTTTCAGTTTCCCCCTCGTTTTTGTCGTCGGACGGGTTTGGTGCCAGTGTGTAGGGACCTGTAGAAGAAAATGTCTTCTCAAGATCCTCAGTCACTGAACATTGACCATCAGCTCCTCCTGTGAGCAAAGGTTTGGCCTTGTTTTCCAGCACTCTGTGATGTCCTTTTCATTTTATTACTAAATTGTGTATGTCTAATTATATTATATATATTATATAGTATTTTAAAGCAAATTAGTGTATTTTTAGTCATTTTTGATAAACTTATTTTCTGAGATTTGTTCAGGAAGTTATTGGTATAGTATTTTACTGTGATCAAAAGTTGGCGTACCAGAAAATTATATTTTTTCTGAATTTTAACCACAAAAATGGACATAGCTAAGTATTTTAAGGCAAATGAGTGCATTTTTATTTAATTTTAAGAAACTTTTTTTTGAGTTTTTCAGGATCTTATTATTACAGTATATTGCTCTTGATCATAAGTTGACTTTCCAAAAAAAGTATATTTTTTCTGAGTTTTAACACTGAATTTTTACCCGGAGTGCTATGTTCTTCTTGATCTCCCTGTTAAGTTAAGAAGTTTTCTTCTTCTCCATCTCCAGCCACAGCAAATTTTCGCTCTGTAAATACTTGCATTCCTCGTCAATACTCCTGTACTTGTCTTTCATCCTGCACAATTGTTCCTTCAGCCACTCCTCGTACTGCTGCATGGCCACGTAACGCTCGCGCCTCTCCTGACTGTACATGACCAGCATCCGTCTCAGTTTGTACATTTCTTTTTTCAAGTGCTGTTCACTCTCTTTTGCCCTGAGCTGTTCTTGTCTCAGAAGATATGTGAGTTGTTCATTTTTCTTTCTCAGTGCTTCTCCTACTGATTCACCTGAACTCCCACAGTGGAGATAACCCGTCTGTTGTGTCAGTGCCGTCATGTTTGTGTATACTTTACTCTGTTTGATTTTGAGAACAATGGTTCTCTGAGTGTGAGGCTGTTGTACTGCTGATGTACTTTTTTTACTAAATATTTTGTTGTCCTAACGATGTGACATTTTAATACTTTTAGTCATTTTTGAGAAACTTTTATTTTTGGAAATTGGTTCAGGAACTTATTGGTATAGTATTTTACTGTGATCAAAAGTTGGCGTACCAAAAAATATATTTTTTCTGAATTTTAACCACAAAAATGAGGTAGTATTTTAAGGCAAATGAATGTATTCATTTTTGAAAAGTTTTTCAGGATCTTATTGATACTTTATATTGTTCTTGATCATAAGTTGACTTTCCAAAAAAGGTATATTTTTTTCTGAATTTTACCATTAAAAAAGGCAATTGCTACTCAATTTAATGCAAATTAGACCATTTTTATTCATTTTCGAGAACGTTTTATTTTTGGAGACTTTTTCAGGATCTTTGTATAATGTGCTGCATTTGTCGGTCTGTTTTAACAGATTATCAGACACTCTTTGCAGACATATATTTCTTGTAATTATACTTTAAATACCTATTAAGGCAGTTTGTGAAGCGCCATCTGTGGTGAAGTACTCCATATTTGAACAGCATCAATATTGGTGAATCTCGCACACACGCGCACACACACGCGCACACACACACACACACACACACTCAGTGATAATGGCTTGTTAAGGTGGATGAAAAATAAGCTTCACTCCTGTCTCCTTTCTCTAATCACTCTGAAGCTTTGATTAGCCACCGCACACGAGTAATGGGTGGCATTTTCCAGGGGCTGTCGGGCGTTGGAGGGAGACGATTTAACGGCCTCTTCTTCTTCTCCTCCTTCTCCTCTTCCCAGTGGTTTTGATCTATTTTTTACTGCCTGTCTCACTCATTTATCACCAGCAGAATGGCTACTAAAGTAATCCGACATTAGCACCAAGCAACTGATACCTCGGGAAGGAGAAAGAAAGACATTTGAATAAATCATGGAGCATGTCTTCATTAAAAATGAAAAAAAAGAGAGTAAGCGACACTGGCATTGGCCCCTGAACTACAACAAACCAAAGTGTACAAAGTGGAGATGAGGCTTGATTAAAGAGGAATAATTGGACTCTGATCTGATTCACACTGGAATTATACTGAAAACCAGTGTTACACTAACAGACAGTGTTAGCTTGATTTGACTATTGCATTATAGACACAGTATAAATGATCTTATAAAGGAATGATGTAAAAAAAGACAGAAAAATAAAAAGAACCTCGAGGACAAGATGATTCAATAAAAAGGAATCGACGTTAAGTAAGAAACTTTAAATAACTGTGCTGTATTAGTATTGCTCTGTAGAGAAGGATTATAAATAAAGGTTTACCCATCAGAACATGTTTGTATAAGAAATTAGAATCTTTGTGTTCTCAACCCTTTACATCTACTTATGTGTGGTGCCATTTCAAAAGTACTGTAACTTAATTCATTATCAGGACTAAACAGGACCAACAGGTTAAATATATGATCATACCTGAGGGACATACAGTAGACGGCTGTGCAGAGACACATTCTCAGTCCAAATGGAGGTTGAGTTGGTTGTTGGAGCTGAAACTGCCCAACTGGAGGAATAGAGAGTGACATAATGAGTAGAGTTAAAAGAGGACATGAAAATGGTAGGTTTCCAAACTTCTGCACCCTCTCACGGTGACACAAATCGGTGTGAGTCATTTTACAAATGTGCCTTTTTAACTAAATATCGATGTGAAAATAAGGCGGTTGTGCAGCTGTTGATTATTTTCATCATGTATTTTGGTCATAATCACCGGGGCAGGTAGATTTTGACCTTTAACCTTTCATTAAATATCCATCAAATGTTTTGTAAAACAACTTTTTTATTGTTTAAAACATAAACATTATTCCCTTCTATCAGGAATGATCGAGGGCAGGTAACACACACACACACACACACACACACACACACACACACACACACACCCCGGACGGAGGTGAAATGTGTAAACATTATGAGAGCAGTCTACTCTACTTTTTCCTCCGAGGACTGGCTTCTTCATGAATAATGCAGATGCAGAGTTTGACCGCTGGCCTGCAGCTGATTGGCCGTCTCGGGGTCGTGGCTGGGGCGAATGGTTGCACAGGGGAAAGGTGTGGAGGTAAAACCTCCATCTCCACCGGCCTGGATGACTGACTTCTCTCCCCTATCAAACCCCAGCAGACATAGATACAGATCGATGCAGGTGTGGACTCTGACCACATCATCGACTCTCCTTACTGTCTTTGTTCACACGAGGGCGAAGATAAAGAGCTGAAAACTCTGATCGTTGTTTGTTTGTTTTTCTCACCCAGGACACTTATTTATTTATTGTGCTATGAATTGTGCAAACAGCACTGTCAAGAGACTCGGTGTTCGCTACAGTCCGAACAGATGGAAACCTGACAGTTTACCTAAGGAAGGCATGAGGATTGTGGCCTGATGGTGTGTTGCTATGGCAGTGTTGTTAGGACTAGTGTGAGGACACACATTTCACAAATTAGTTTTATCTTGTTCAGCCTGTTTAGGACTAAAGCTGAATAGAGAAATTGATTAAAGCCTCTGTAAAAGAGAATGAAAAAAAAAAAAAAGCACAATATTTAACCATCCCGATTAATTGGATGTTTGAACAGTCATTCTACATTTTATGAGAATATTTCAATGCATTTACCTGATTTATACATAACATGTTTATACACCAGTCATTTGTAGCCATATTAGCCATCTCATTTGCTATTCTCCACAGCTAGTGTATTAGCCAAAATGAGTGTGCGTGGCTACAAATGGCTACCAAACCAAAAAAAGAAAAAAAAAAAGATGGTTTAATTAGTGGAGACAGGGAGGTATGACACGAGCTGGTGAAGAGAACACCATCATTCTGAATGTAAGTTAGTAACAGCGCATGATCTTCGGTATTTTGTGATGGTCATTGACAGTCATTTGAGCTGTTTATTTAACAAGATTGAAATGTCCCTGCAACATTTCTGCATTTCATTTAAGGGCCGCTTTTGCTGTTGGACCTGACTGCGTTGGTGTGTCCGTCCTCAAATGTTGGCGTTTGGAGTTTAACCATCTAATGAAGAAGTTTATCAGCCTCCTCCACCATGACAGCCTTAGGATCTGACTCTCTCCAACCTCAGGCAGCACATCTGTAATTTCACAGCACACCTGTGGAGGCTCAGACTCGGCATCTTTATCAACCATTTCTTCCAGAGACGTGTCCTGTGTTTGGAGTGTCTGGGTTTCTTCAGTGGGACTTGAGTCGTCACTGGTCTTTACCTCCTGGTGGTGCTGCCCTCCTGTGGTCTGGCTCGCTGTCTCCACCTGCCTCTCTGTTTTCTCTTTCATGTGTTGAATTTTTACCCGGAGTGCTATGTTCTTCTTGATCTCCCTGTTAAGTTTCTCAGTCGCGTTGGTTTTCTTCTTCTCCATCTCCAGCCACAGCAAATTTTCGCTCTGTAAATACTTGCATTCCTCGTCAATACTCCTGTACTTGTCTTTCATCCTGCACAATTGTTCCTTCAGCCACTCCTCGTACTGCTGCATGGCCACGTAACGCTCGCGCCTCTCCTGACTGTACATGACCAGCATCCGTCTCAGTTTGTACATTTCTTTTTTCAAGTGCTGTTCACTCTCTTTTGCCCTGAGCTGTTCTTGTCTCAGAAGATATGTGAGTTGTTCATTTTTCTTTCTCAGTGCTTCTCCTACTGATTCACCTGAACTCCCACAGTGGAGATAACCCGTCTGTTGTGTCAGTGCCGTCATGTTTGTGTATACTTTACTCTGTTTGATTTTGAGAACAATGGTTCTCTGAGTGTGAGGCTGTTGTACTGCTGATGTACTTTTTTTACTAAATATTTTGTTGTCCTAACGATGTGACATTTTAATATTTTTTATTTTACTGACTTCACATCGGTTCACTCAAGGAGACGAAGCTAATCCCATCTGACATCAGGATCAATCACTAATAGCCATTAGATCAAAGTAGGTATTCATGACTTTGATGTTAATGTTTACATGTTTTAAACCCAATCACCATGTGGCTAACTCATAACTAGAGAAAACATAACATAAATGTACAAACTTATCTGCATTGTAACTTGATTTAGGCTCTGCGTATTAGCAATACCTGCACTCCACCGACTGCACGTCACCTGAAATGCAAAAAGTAAATGGCTTTAAAGGTCAAAATGGATTGATGATGACAATTCCATATATGTGGAATGATTTTGGCTCGATTCAGTATACACACAGAACAAATTATTATTAATTTTGTAATTATTATTGCTGTGTATTCTGGTCCACAATAACTTTTTCTTATGTAGGATTATATTCATATCTCTAACATTCAAAGCTTTGACTCATTTCCTTGCATCTGATTATATGGTGTCCTTTTAAATTTCTAGGCTGGTTCTCCTCTTTGTTTCCCCACTGTTTACGTTTTTAGTTTTAACTTTTAGTGCATGGACTAAGCTAAATTATATCTGACAGTGTTTTCACATTGTTCCTCTTCACATTGATGTTTCCACTGTGTCAGTCATGTCCAGTGTAAGTGAGTATCTGTGTGTGTGTTGGAGACGTGGATATTTTTCTGACTCCCTAATCAATCGGTGGCATCACGGTGTCATGTTGCCACCCACTGTGCCGGCTTTTTGTGCAAAGGCTCTTTATGTTAATGACATCATAATGTTATTTAGATCAATCGATTGAATGCTCCAGTCTGAGGTCAGGAGCCATGGGGGTGACGGGTTACATTTGCATAACACAGTGGCTCTCGGCGTCCCTTTGGACTGAAAGACAAACTCTAGTTGTGGTGCTGTGCTAATGCTTGTGGTTCCACACTGTGCCTCAAAGCTCTGGCCTTTCCCTCTCTCCACCCGTCAGAGTTATTGACAGGAGTTCCCAACCCACCGACCATCTCCACACATCACGCTGCTGCTGTCAGATGCTCAGATATCACGCCGACTTATTCTCCAAATGCTGTCTCCCCAACATGCCGTTTACAAACCAGGAGCGAGTGACTATGAAAGCTGCTACCACAACTTTTCCTTTTAAAAGACTCCGAATTTGCCATTGACCTTGTCAGCAACTTCACATCTGATCCCTTCTTTACAACATTCCTTTTAAACAGGCTCTTTGTGGACAGTTCAACCTGTCACTCCCAGTGTATCGTCACACTGTGGCCAAAGTGACATTTGAATCAGTCTTTACATTACATACACGAAATTGTCAAGTCCTATGAAATAAACAGTGATGGAAGAGGAGGCCTTATTTCACATAAACATTAAATGAAACACTACTATGGCTGGAGACACACCCTAAACAGTAGAGCTGAATTGTTTCTACTTGGAAACACTGCAACCAGGAAGTCATGATTATCTCCCCTGTGTGTGTGTGTGTGTGTGTGTTTGTGTGTGTGTGTGTGTGCGCTGTACAGCAAATGTTTCCCCAAATTTAGATTCACATTAACCTCACATGTCACACTATCTTAGTGCCTTGATTTACTGAATGGTAAAAACCATAAGAGCTGTATAAATACTAACACACTTCTTTGAAGAAAAGCCATACTGTCCTTTTAGCCAAACTGCATTTTCCCACCTGGAGACAAAATGGACACCCGGATGTCCTCACAGATTATGATTACACATATTATTGTCCATTATTAATACAGAAAGACACACAATAAAAAATGCACACACACAAACTGAGCAGCTTTTTCCTGTTTCTCAGTCCTTATAAAAACAATACAAACACTCTCCATTTTCCCCTCTCTCTCTCTCTCTCTCTCTCTCTCTCTCTCTTTCTCTCCCTCCCCCTTCACTTGTTTGGCCTCCCCCAGGACCCGTAGGCGTTGTCGGAGCCCGGCACTCTCCCCCGACGCAGCAGTTCACCAGGTGTTGTCTGCAACAGGCAATTAGTAGAATAGGTGTAGCTGTCAATCAGGCGGCAGGAAGATTAGCTTCTTGGCTGTAATTAGCGGGTTAGAGGCTTCTTGGCCCAGAGGATAAAGGCTTTGCCAATAATGGGCCCTGGGGTATTAATTACTGAAGGTCGAAGCTGCCGAAAAGGCCGGGATCTTAGCAGCAGTGCGCGTAAGATGATTGTTTAAATTTCAAAAATAATACTGCTCTGACAGTTGTTGGAGTCCCACGGGGCGACGGGTACAAGGTAGCCGAGGTAATTAGTTTGAAGAGGGAAAGGGCATGGTTACAGGCGTGTTTGTGGGGGGCGGGGGGGGGAAGGGGAGGGAGGGGCGAGCAAGGAAACGAGGATAGGAGGAAATGTGGAAAATGTAAGTGTGAGAGGTAGAAGAGTGACGGGAGGAAAAACTGAAGGCCGTTTGAAAATTATAAATGTTGAGAAAATATGAACAAGAAATCTTAAAAGATGAAACAAGTGTTGAAGTAGTAGAAAAAGAAGTAAGAAATAGAACGGGGAGGCAGTCGGGGAAGAGGGGAGGTGACGGTAAAAAAAAGGCGAGAATGTAGAAGAAGAGATGGGATAAAACATGAGGGAGAGCGGGGATTTAAATGTGAGGGAACAAGGGCGAAAAAGAGAGAGAGAGAAAGTAGGAGGATTGGGTTAATCAAACAATTCAGAGATGAAAACAGTTAGAGGGAAGAATGGGAGGAGTCACAAAAAAAGATTGGATAAATCCAGGAGGAGGAGGAGGGAGACAAATCTGCAATGGGAGGGAATGAGGGAATAGAAAATAAAACAAGAGAAAGGAGTGTGAATAAAAAGATGAGGAAGTGAGTGGGCAAGGCCGGAGTGGCTAATCAGGAATTTCGGGAGTTTTCTCGGGCTGGCCCATGTCAATCTCGGTTTGGGCCTTTTGGATAATGGGCATAATTAAAACATATCTGTCACTTATCTAACCTTATTCTTGCGTAGCTTCCATTCAACTATAGGCTACATTAATTCGTCATGGCAGCGCAGCCGCAACATCACAGCAGATTAGAGGGGTTCTACCATATCAGGGAATTCTCTTCTTTTTAGTTCTTACAATTGTAAATCTGACTCCACAGGAGTCAGTGCCTCACCAGCCATGAACCTCACCGCATGTTACTGCTGTAAAAATACACCCAATTGCCTTAAAATACTTAGCAATGTCAATTTTTGTGGTTAAAATTCAGAAAAAAATATACTTTTTTGGTACGCCAACTTTTGATCACAGTAAAATTATTAAGTTTCTGAACAAATCTGCGAAACTAAAAGTGAATAATTTGAGCTAAAAACTCGAAAAAGTATTTTATATGAA